CCTCCTTGGGGGCCTCCTTGGGGGGCCCCTCCTTAGGGACCTCCTTGGGGAGCCCCCCCTTAGGGGCCTCCTTGGGGGGCCCCCCCTTAGAAGCCTCCTTGGGGGGCCCCTCTTTAGGGGTTTCTTTTTTGGGAGCCTCGGGTTTGGGGGGCCCCTTGGGGGGCCCCTGTTTGGGGGCCCCCTGTTTGGGGGCCCCCTCTTTGGGGGCTTCTTTTGCAGTTGGCGGCGCCGTTTTTGCAGCAGCAGCAGCAGCAGCTGCTGCTGCTGCTGGAGGCGCTGCTGCTGCTGCTGGCTTCTTGAAAATACCCTGTTTTAACTTCGCTTGGGCCTCCAGGGGGGCCCCCAAGTCCTCTTCTTCTTTAGGGGGGGGCAGCGGGGCTGGAGCCTTCCAGGGGCCCCCGGGGGCCCCCCCCTTCTTCTTGGGAATACCCCCTTTGGGGCCCTTGGGGGGCAGCGCATGCACTGCTGCAGCACGAAACAGCCCCCCCTGCTGCTGCTGCTGCTGCTGCTGCTGTTGCTGCTGCTGCTGCTTGTGCGTCCTAGAATTCTGCTGCTGAACGAAAAGAGACCTCTTCTCTCCGACGCTTGGGAAGGATCCGCCATGACGGGCAGGCTGCTGCTGTTGCTGCTGCTGCTGCTGCTGCTGCTGCTGTTGCTGCTGCTGCTGCTTGTGCGTCCTAGAATTCTGCTGCTGAACGAAAAGAGACCTCTTCTCTCCGACGCTTGGGAAGGATCCGCCATGACGGGCAGGCTGCTGCTGTTGCTGCTGCTGCTGCTGCTGCCATAACTACTACTACTACTGTTGTCGCAGCAGCAGCAGCTGCTGCTGCTGCTGCTGCTGCTTGGGGGGCGCTCTAAAAAGCCCTCTAGTGCTGCTGGGATTCGAATCCTTTCAAAACTATCTGAACCCCCTTCAACAGCAAAACTCAATGAAGAGGGGCCATCTGCTGCTGCTGCTGCTGCTGTTGAAGCAGCAGCAGATCTCCGGGGCCTGAAGATAACACCGCGGAGGCCTTCAAGATACGACCGGCGCTTCTTCGCTGCAGGCGAAGAAGGTTGTTGCTGCTTCTGCTGCTGCTGCTGCTGCTGCTGCTGCTGCTGCTGCTGCTGCTGCTGCTGTTGCGGCAGAGGAGGTGGTCGTTTGCGCTGCAGCAGCAGCTGCTGCTGCGTCTCGAGCTGCATCCTGTGGGCCTTCTGCAGCATCGTAGACCTGACCAGCAGCAGGCGGCACCCCTTTGCTTCGTTGCTGTTGCTGCTGCTGCTGCTGCTGCTGCTGCTGGAACGAGTCACCCCGGGAACAGCCACAGCCAGGGGCCCCAGCTTCCTCCTATGGGGCCCCTCCATGCTTGGGGGCCCCCCTAAGGAGCAGCAGGGAGAGGGGGGGCCCGCAGCAGGTGGAAGTTGAAGTAGCTGCTGCGCAGCACCAGTGGTGAGGAGCTGCTGCAAGAGCTACTGCAGCAGCAGCAGCGGCGCTGCTGCTGCTGCTGCTGCAGCGCCGCCTTAGAACCCTTCAAAAAGGCAAATAAAGGTAAAAGAAAATGATTAAATATTCAAAAAGCATTCAAAATGACTTCGCCACGGACTTGAGGCGAACGGCTGCGGAAGGCCAGCAGCAGCAGCTGGGCTCCGCCGGGTGTATGTACACCTCGCCGCAGAGCCTCCAGAGCCGCCGCTAGACAAGTTTTTAAATTATAAATGAAAACTAAAATGCAAAAAGAATAATTAAATACTTTAAAAGGACATTTTCAAACCCTAAACAGCTGCAGACATGCTCGGGGCCTCGCTGAGGCCCCCAGCGCTGCTGCAGCAGCAGCAGCAGCAGCAGCAGCTGAATGGTCCACTGGTAACTCCCCCTCTGCACCGCCGACATGAATTTAATTTATTTATTCATATTTAATTTAATCTTTCTGGAAATTTGCCTCAGTGAAAATCCGAAAAGAAAAAAGGTGTAAAGGCCCTCCACTTGTGCTGCTGCTGCCCAGATTTCTGGGGGCCCCCTCGCTGCTGCTGCTGCTGCTGCTGCTCTGTTTCAAAGTATCCACTCAGCATACATTGCCAGCCCCCTCCATAATTCAAACAAATTAGGGTTTACAGTTCTTTGTGAGGCGCGGGAAACCCTAAACCCTCGACAAGGCCCCAGATAGCGACAAAGGGTTTAGCGTTTAGTAGGGTTTTGGTTTACCCGAAAGGGCTGAAGGCCTGAGGGTTTAGGGTTTGGGGTTTGGGTCCCTAGGCTGCAAGGGCCACTGCCTCAAGTTGTGTGGGCCCCCTAAAGCTAGGGTTTAGGGTTTAGGGTTTAGGTCCAAGGGTTTAGAGCTAAGGTACAACGTCCACAATTTAGTGTTGAGGGTTTAGGGTTTAGGGTTAGGTGTTTGCCCATGGGATACTCTTTTGCGGGAAGCCCTTGCCACCTGGATGTAGGCGTTAAACCTTAGGGTTTAGGGTTTAGGGTTTAGGGTTTAGGGTTCAGGGTTTAGGGTTTGCTCTGCCCAAAGCATCCCGTCCTATTCTTCCTCTACCCCTCAATTTAATATCTGAGTTCCCTGTCCAATTAATTAATTAATTAATATGAATAGGTAATTTAAATTAATTAATTAATTAATTAATTGAAATCATTTTATTTGTTTATTTTTGATTTATTTATTCTCTTGGTTTCCCCCCCAGAGCCCCGCGGCGCAGCCAAAAGTTTCCAAAAGAGTAAAAGCAAAACAAAAATAAATAAATTAATAAAATAAACTTCAACAAAAATTAAAATCAAATTAAATTAAATTAAATCAAAATAAGACTTTATTATTTCATAAAATGCCAAATCAAAACTCCGACTCGCTGCTGCTTCCAGAAACAGCAGCAGCAAACACTGGGCGGCTACGGGGGGGGCCCCCCCGGGGGGCCCCCCCGGGGGCCCCCCAGAGGTATGTGGGCCCCCCGGGGGGCCCCCAGGGGAGGGGGGCCCCCCCGGGGACTCCCCGGGGATGTGGGGGCCCCGGCGGGGGCCCCCTGAGCCCCGGGGGGCCCCCACGGTGGGCATCCCAGGAAGGTCTCAGGCCTGGGGGCCCCTCGGGGGCCCCCCTTGGGGGCCCCAAGGGGGGCCCCCCTGGGGGCCCCCAGGGGTACTCTGGGGGCCCCTCAGGGCCTCGGAATTTAGGCGATGAATGGGGAGAGGGCCCCGGCGAATGAAAGGAAGAAGGGTCACTTAGTTCTGCTGCACTTGATGAAACAGATGATGAACTATCGTCATCTGCTGCTGCTGCGGCTGCTGCTGCTGCTGCTGCTGCTG